ACCCCAGCCCTCTTTCCTGCCTAGGCAGGGGGTCGGACTCAATGATCTGTTGAGGTCCCTTCTGACCCTAGCATCTATGAATCCAAGAAACCACCGACAGGCTTTTAGCAGTCTCCGGAAATAGATATTGAGGCCGGTTTTGTTCAATATTTTCATCAATGATTTGGAAGATGGGATAGAGTGGATCCTCAGCAGGTCTTCAGATGACACCAAGCTGTGGGGACTAGTAGATATGCTGGAGGGTAGGACTAGGATTCAGGAGGACTGGACCAAATGAAATCTCATGAGGTTCAATAAGGATGAGTGCAAAGTCCTGCACTAAGGGCAGAGCAATCCCATGCAACAGTACAGGCTGGGGACTGATTGGCTAAGCAGCAGCTCTGCAGAAAAGTACCTGGGGGTTACAGTAAACAATAAGCTGAATATGAGTCAACAGTGTGCCCTTGTTGCAAAGAAGACTAATGGCATACTGGGCTACATTAGTACGAGTGTTGCCAACAGATCAAAGGAAGCAACTCTTCCCTTCTGTTCGGCACTGATAAAGCCACATCTGGAGTTCTGTGTCCAGTTTTGGGCCCCCCACTACAGGAAAAATGTGCACAAATTGGAGAGAGCAAAGCAGAGGGCATCAAAAATGGTTAACGGACTGGGTGCACATGACTTATGAGGAGAGGCTGAGAGAACTGGGCTCACTGAGAAGAGAAGACTGAGGGGGATTTCAATAGCAGGCTTCAACTACCTGAAGGGAGGTTCCAAAGAGGATGGAGCTAGGCTGTTCTCAGTGGTGGCAGATGACAGAACAAGGAACAACGGTCTCAAGTTGCAGCAAGGAAAGTTTAGGTTAGATATTAGGAAAAACTCTCTCACGAGGAGGGTAGTAAAACGCTGGAACAGATTACCCAGAGAGGTGGTGGAAGCTCCATTCTTGGAGGTTTTCAAGACCCAGCTAGACAAAGCCTTGGCTGGGATGATCTAGTTGGAGATGGTCCTGCTTTGAGCAGGGGGGGTCAGACTAGATCAGTGGTTTTCAACCTTTTTTGTACCAGAACCCGTTTGTAAACATTGATGACCAGCCCTGACCCACAGCCCCCTGCCCCACAGTGCGAGGGGCTGGGGGTGGGTGTGTGGGACAGGGGGGACATGTGCCCTCCCAGATTTGTGTGGGTACAGGGCTGCAGCCTGGCCAGACTAGCATGAACAGGATCCACTTCAGTAGTCTAGCAGGTGGGTCCCAGAGCGGAAGGGTGGAGCAGGGCAGCAAGACTGGTTGCTGCCGCCACCATGAACCCCATATCAGCAACATGAGGAGTAACAGATGGGAGGGGGTGCCCACACTAAACCTCACCTCCTTCCGCTGCCAGCTGCTTGTGAGCTGGGCCACAGCTCTACCATGCCACCATGGCTTGGCTGCCAGCAGCTAATCTTGCTGTCCCGCTCCACCCTCATATGCTGTGACCCACCTGCTGGGCCTTGGAGACAGCTCCTACTCATGCTGGTCCAACCAGGCTGCAGCCCCATGCCCGTACATATCTGGGGGCACATACATTCCCACCGAGTCCTCACATCGTCTATGCCCCTTACCTCCGTCCACAGACTTACTTGCAGGGAGCTGCAGGAGCTGCTCTCCACCCTGCCTGGCTGCCATGTGCATGTCTATGTGCACATAGTGCCCCTGTGTCCCACTCCCCCAGCTCCAAGCAGCCCCTTGCAGGCTGGGACGCTGCCAGCCTGCAAGGGAAAACCCAAACTTCCCTGCATTTTTCGTGATTGTTTGCAACCCTTTCAAACATTCTTGCGGCCCACTTTTGGGTCGTGACCCACGGGCTGAGAAACACTGGACTAGATGATCTCCTGAGGTCCCTTCCAACCCTCATTTAATATGTTTCTATGTCATCTAAACTAAAGTTAAGGCACCAAAACAAAGGAATCAACAGGACATTAAGATCTACATACATTAATACATACAAACATCATGTAATCAGCAAACACAAAGATGGGGAAGCAATCAAGCATGTTAAGAGAGGCAACAGGTTCTAGTTTTACATCCAAACAATGAATCAGTAAAACATTCTCACTTTGGCCATTCCCACAGAGCTTGCATTCAGTTCTGGGATCCCCTGGTTGGTTTTATCCCCACGTTCCCACATTCCATAATCCTGTAACAAGAAGAAGGAAAAGATCCTACTGAAACTTAAAAACAAAACACTAGAGGAACCTACTTGTTTATGAAGTTAGGCCCTCCAAAGCCTTATTTAAGTATGTGAGTAAACTCACTGAACTCAAAGATAAGCATGCAAGTAAATCTTAGCAGGATTGAGGTCTTAACAACGTTGGATGAATTTTTCATAGAGCAGGAAGTATGCCAAAGTAAACAATACCCCTACTATACAGCTTCTCTCAATTTCTTAAAGTCACCATTCCTTTCCACACATCCTAAAGCTTTTTGTTCTTGGACAAAAAATGATATAATTTATAAAATGACAAACTGGAGCTGTAAGTGTTACCAAGGAACAAAATAAAAGACTCAATAAAAAAATTATAGGACTCTCTTTCAGGTCCTTGAGAAAATATTCAGATACTTACAGCTACTTTGTAAGCTGCCTCAATGTAAAAAACAAGATTCTGTATGAACGCAACCTCATCAAGGGTGAATATAATCCGCAACCCTAGTAAAAAAGAAACAAAATGTAACATTCTAAAAGGATGTTTGGCAGCCAAACTGTCATTTTATTTGCTAGAAATCCATCCCCGATTAAATCAATTGAAAGATTCATCAGTTTCAACAGACACTGAATCAGGCCTCATAACATTTGCCATTGATGCAGTACTTTAAATGTCACTAGTACATATTCTTTAGTTCAAAGATTAACAAAAAAAAACTTAGGGTCACATTCAAACACCAAAGGGTCTGATGACAACTTTTTCAGAAGTAGATCATTATAAGGCACACAGAGAACAGAAAAGAAGCAGGGGAGCTGCTGTATAGTCATAACTGTTTAGGAAGGGTAGACTTGGTAAATCATCAAAATACAAAGGTGCCAAGAAACAAGGGAGCAGGGCCAGGATAATTAGGATCCATGTTGACTTAGAGGTACATTTTTTATTTTCATTTTCAGAGGGGCACTAAGATCTCTGCAGGGCAGCAACAGAACCAACAATTATCCTTCATAAAGTTGTGTCTCCTTTCAGACACAATAAATGCATGATACAAGATACTCCATGTATTTTGTGTTTCCATTAACTAGCTATATTACAATTACCCTTCAAGTTTCTGTTTTAATAAAGGCTTGAATCACAAGTGAGTAGCATCTCTTTTCTATACAAATATTACTCTCCTGTGGTAAGAGCACAGGGCTCCTCTAAATGTTGCATGCCCCGCTGCCATTTTCCATCAGACATGGTCCCAATATTTTCTTTCCAGTCATCAAGTGTATACCATTGTAGCCGCTCCGCTTCATCTCCAGCAGCTCCCTGGCATTTTGAAAATTAAAAGCAACCATTGCACTTAAGTTTTTTTTATTTCTGAAGCACTTCATCCAGAGCTATATACAGAGCACTAATTGTTTATCTGTATTCTTACTAGCATATATGCTCAAACTTGCAGACCTTCAAGCTACTCACAATAGTCAAACTTAGGTTCCCTGTTGCCTGACAACTACCAATACTTGTTCTGGCATTCTACCCAGTCATAGATCACATCAACATTTAAGTAGGGCACAATATTTAGGAAATATCTACTTTAGGTGGACAGCTTGACGGATTCTGCAGCTGGCTCCCACTCTTACTGGAAGTCACTCCTCTTTAACTAGCAGATCCTCTTAAGTCATTTACTGATATTTGTGTGTCCTCATGGAGAAAAACAAAATAACACTTGCTCATAATTCATATGGGCCAGGAAAACACAATCAAACCAATACTACAGAATATAATGCTCAAACCCAAGTTAGAGCACTGATTTCTAATGTCATTGGCCAGAGGGGTTTTCACCTTCTGATATTCAGAGCACCATCTGTGCCAAACTTTTCTAACTACAAGGTATTAAAAATCAGTAGTAAAATCAGCAGTAAAATTAATGTGTCCAAAGGTAGTCACTTCTCTTTAGGCATTTGAAAGAAGGGGCAATCAGAACACAGTTAGGATGTTATACCAACAAAGGGCAGCGTTTACTCAAGATTATTGGTGTACTCCATTTTGCAGAAGAAAAAACTGTAACTGTCATATTCTTTAAATTTAATTACTTATTAAAAGCTGTTTGCAGCATTTAACTTAAAATTATCATGCATACCAATGGCCAGGGCTAAAACACTGCTTACCTGATGCAGTCATCTGTGCTAGGAAGAGCAGGAAAAGGGAAGTTGCATCTACCTGTAGATGTCCCCATTGGTCATCCCCAACCACTGTGGCACAAGTGGCTGAGTTATATTTGGCATGCAAGCAGTCCTTGGTACTCTGTGTGTGTTTGAATTTCTCTACTTTGTCCACCTAAGAATAAGATCAAGATTTTAAATTCAAAAGCAGTCTGGAAGAGGTTTGTCAGACACAAACCATGTCATAGGGCACTTTTGCTCCAGGAACACCTAGCAAATATGTTCCATTTTTTCCTACCTTACTCTCACATGGCAGAATTCAGCAAAGCACTTAAGCAAATGTTTATATTTAAGCTCATATGTAAATCCACTGTCTCAATCAGTAAGACATAAGCTTAAGTGCTTTGCTGAGTTAAGTTCTTAATTATAGCTGTGCAACCTCAAAAATTAATTTGCATACGTATAACTGCAATTTGTTGCAGGTGTGACCAATCACATGCAGGACAACAGAGTTTTACTCCCAGTAAATACATAAATTTAAAACACCCACATCTGTTTGCACAGTCATTTGAATGAAATCTCAGATAAAAGAAATGTACCCTGCTTTGTAAACATAAACAGAGGTATATATGGGAACCCCCACTGCAATACGCTTGAGTGGCAGCTTTTAATTGCCACTTGTTTTAAATCAACAGGACTACAGAACCCAAAAGAACTACCGATCTTAAAAAATTCCAGTACTCCTTCATTCTTTGCCATGGTATATTCCACTTCATGCAAAAATTGCAGTAAGGCAATAGATCCAACTGAGCAACAGAGAGCAGTAAATAATGTAATTATTAGATTACCTGTCTCATCATACACTGCAAAAGTCCCCGCATCAGTTTCACAACATTCTGCAGGAATGAGACCAAATAATTATTTTCTCCAATCACCAGGATGATCACCTATATCAGACAGTTCTTAACAATAACAAGGCTATATATGTACAACTGTCCTGCGGCAAGCATAGACATGAATGACCTGATATGCTTATAGGGAAATATTTTTCTGATTACTTTGTTTTCCAGAGTTTTATCTTAGAATGTGTCTTTTTTTGGGGAAAAAAAAGTTCCAGAGTTTTATCTTGGAATGTGTCTTTTTTGTGGTCACTTGAAAAATCTGACACTCTCACTGCTAGCAAAGCACATCAAAACATATTAGCAACCTAGGAGGGTTCAAGACTGCTTCAATTCTTTAGTTTTCTAAAAGTATAAGAAACTTATTGATTTCTATTTGGACAACATTATTGCACAGTAAAGCCAAAATCTTTTCCTAAAGGCATATTCTAACTAGCTAAGGAAGTTCGGCCTAGTTGAAGAAGTGAGAAGAGACTCTTTTTGTTGTATTCAATTTGTGGAGGGGGTTGGGGAAGTGGGCAAAAACAAATGGATACACCCCAAATGTCTGCAAAGCACTGCACTGGTGCAGATGAAAAACCTAGTGAGACCTTTTCCCTTTGTCCAGGCAAATACAAGCAGTGCTGTTTGCAAGAGGGACTGCTATAAAGAAAAATCATTCATTTTTGCATTAAATGCAGGAAATAAATGTGTCTTTCAACCTGAAAAAAGAGAATTTACAAAAGTTATGCTGTGACTTCAGAATACGTGACCCAATATCTATGGCACTAGTCCAGGACTCAGGGGTTCAATTTCCTACTTGATATCACACTTCTTGTGTGACCCTTGACGCAACTACATTTAAGACATTTAATCTCTTATTGTTTTATTTTCCAACTGAGAAACAGAAATACAGCTACTCCTCGCTTAACATGGTAGTTACATTCTTAAGAAACGTGACTTTAAGCGAAACGATGTTAAGCGAATCCAATTACGTCACAGTAGTTACCTACGAAAATACCTCCTCTGCTTGTGCTTGTAGGGAGGCAGTTAGACGGGCCAAAGCTACCATGGAGCTGAGGATGGCAACCCAAGTAAAAGACAACAAGAAATTGTTTTTTAGATATATAGGGAGTAAAAGGAAGGCCCAGGGAGGAATAGGACCCCTGCTAAATGGGCAGAAACAATTGGTGACGGACAGGGGGGACAAGGCTGAACTCCTCAACGAGTTCTTTGCCTCAGTGTTCCTAAGAGAGGGGCACGACAAGTCTCTCACTGGGGTTGTAGAGAGGCAGCAGCAAGGCGCCAGACTTCCATGCGTAGACCCTGAGATGGTGCAGAGTCA